GATTAGAATAAAGCTGTACAGATTTACATGAGTCGGGATTACAGTTGAAGAGTAGTATAATCTGGAACACAGAACTGTATGGAGCAGATTCTCGTCAAGGAGCTGGCTTGAGGATTCTCTGTACACGTGTGGGTGGGGGCCCTGCTCTACTCTTTATTCTTAAAATCTTGTACACTTTGCTGAGAGACTTTGGTGAAGTTCAGAGAGCTTGAAAACTGTGTATATATAAGATCAAATTAATGAGATTATGTCTATGCAGGAAATAAGAAAGAATATTGTCTTGAGAAAATTTTATTGAGGACTTATGAAGCCACTAAACCTCTGTCACTCTGACACACTTAAGTCACTGACTCTTCGTACTGAAAGGATCTATGTGCTGAGCCTACTGTCCAGTGCAACATATGGTTTGTCGTTAAGGCCTTTCCAAGTAAGAAACAGTTATCATACTCAGGCCTAATTTTGATGGTATTCCTCAAAAGGATGTGAAGTTGCTTGTATCTCCCAAGTTTTCCTTTAGAGAGTTTAAAACACATTTGAGGATTTAATCTAGAAACATCACTTCTCTAGATAACCAGATATTTCATGAAAGGAGTTCTGAGAACCGGTCTGACTGACCAGAGTCGAAGCATGATGCCATCTAGCTCCTAGGTGGTTATGAAGAGTGCAGTCTCTTAGGGTTGGATTCACGTCCTTAGTTCATTTTCTGTGTCTTTAACAGGAAATTCAGTCTGTTGTCTCAATGTGCTGTGACAAAAAGTCATAAATCCTATTACGATCCCTTATTTGTTTGGATGACTTAGATGAGAACTCAGGTTCATTGCACCAGATTTAACTCTGTCGAAGTCAGACTATCAAGAACATATAGAATTCTGATTCTTCCTCTGAACTTTCTTACAGGAAATTAGAAGACCAAATATTATTTATTTTCATCTAAAATTTTGAAAAAATAAAATAAGATTCAAATTCAATGACACCCTCTTAGGGTTCTTCTTCCAACTTGATAGTAACATGAAGCAAACCAACAAAGTTCCTAAATAAATGCTCCAAGCTTATTATCAGATTTTTAAAAAGAATCCAGACTTCTATATAGAACATGTCTACAATTCATGGTAGTCTATCTCCATTTTGTCATCAATCAGTTAAAGTATTGTTATTTTTATGAAGTCTATGTTCTTTGCTAAACCTTATGTGCTTCCTATAAAGAACAAATTATACTTACGTTTCTTAATATATGCTAAAAAGTATTTTAAATATGACTATCAAAATATTACTATTGCTATTGTTTTAGTTTTATTAATAATTTTACCATTAATATATGCAATATTTTAATTGTATCAGTCTTTTAATGAAGATGCTTTATTTTTTGTTTTCATTTATTTTTATTTATGTGCCTGGTTTTTTTTCTATGTACTGTATATGTGTGTGTAGGTGCCTTCAAATGTGGGAAGAGAATTTTTTAGCCACATAACTATAGCTAAAGGCAGATATGAGCTGGTAGGTGGTGGGAACCAAGCTCAGGTCCTTGAGAAGATCAACAAGTATTTTTAAATGATGAACTATGTAGTTCTAATTCCAAGAAGAAAATATTTGGTTAGCATAATTTAATTATTGCTCGGCGATCCAGATCATTTAAATTTATATTGAAAACTGTACACATACCAAGAACTGCACCATCATAAACACGTAAATAACTAACTGAATTTTTGCCCTCTGAAATTACTATAACAGTACCCTAACTAGGAACAGACTCTCACCGACTATATGTATTAAGAGCAGCTATGACCTTAATTTTTAATAGCACAGAATGCTATTTGTTGTTGCATTAAACTCTTTTATGCGTAGAATTAGATGCCCATTGACCCTCATGTCTGGCTTTTTCTTTATTGTTGACTGTGCTTCACATTATTATTCTTAGATTTATCTATATCATACAGTACATAGATGATCAGCCTGAGGTTCTGACAACTGTCACTGTCTTCAGACACACCAGAAGAGGGCATCAGATCCCATTACAGATGGTTGTGAGCCACTATGTGGTTTCTGGGAATTGAACTCAGGACCTCTGGAAGAGCAGCCAATGCTCTTAACTGCTCAGCATCTCTCCAGCCCCATCCATATTTAGTTTTAATGAAACTATCCATTCATATTATCTATATAAATATCTAAGAAGCTGTCCATTTCCTCTGTTTATTTTCTCTATTGTTTGTCTTTTTAAGATTGATTTGCTAGGAAAAATGTTGAATGCTACGTTGTAATTGTTTGTGATTAAGATGAAATGAAAATATTTTCTTAGATTTTTATTTACTTTCTTACACCTTTGTAGTATTATTGATAAATGGATTGTTATTTTAATTTAGATTAACATTTTATGTAGTTGTATGAAGCTTTTAAACTTTTATATCACAATTTACTCTCTTAAAAATTTTACAGATTTCTCATTCAAATTTTAGCCATAGACCAACTACAATTGATTTGTTTCATTTGTTTGTGTAGATAACTAGATATTCCAGCACTATTAACTAACAGTCCTGTTGTTTCTCTTTACTTGAAATACCTAACTTAATATATAGTATTTCAACATAATTGAAGCTACCTTATATTGCTTATCTTTATTTTCCTTTCTGTCTCAATACATTCTTTTACTTATCATAAATTTCTTATAAATGTGTATCAATGCACAGGAAAGTTCCCTCATCTCATTCTCTGGTATATCTTGGCTTTTGGGATTATTTCTTTTTTTTTGTAGGATTTGTAAAATCAACTTCTTATGTCAATTTAAAAATTCATTGGAAATTTAGTCAAAGTTTTACTGAATTTACAGATTTCCCTAAATTTGTTGAAACAGAGTTTCTCCAGGCTTATATAGAATCCTACAGTCTTTCTAAGATATATAATGATCCTCCCATGAATCATTTTTGTCTTTCAAATTACACAACATAATTTGTTAATATGCCATTGTTATCCTTAGTTGAAGTCTTTGCTATGTTCACATGCTTTTCTTGGTCTCAGTACTAGTGTGAGTTTTAGTGTGGTACTGAACAGAGATGTTGATAATCAGAATCTGTGTCCTGTTTCTGATCTTTATGGGTGTATTTTCCTTTTCAAAAATCAAATGTGCTCTGGGTCATAGAATATTTGCCACATTTATTCTACTGGAGAGGCAATGAGGAAGACATGTGCCGTTTACCAGCATTCCCAGATAGATACCTTGTCTGACTTTGCCTTTTAAATTCACACCAGTTCTGAAGGATCAATATCACTAATCATTTCAAGCACTGAAAGTTTTAAAAGATGTATAGTTTCCTTCAGTGTTACGACAGTTACCAAGTAGTCAAAACAAAATCTAAATGCATATTTTCGTGGTTCCCAGTTTTGAAACAGTTGTCCAATTCCAGTCTTTTGAGACTCAGGTGGATCAACTCTGGATATCCTCACACATGAATGATTCTTCATACATCACTAAAAACCAATTCTGGATCCAACTCCTGCGAGACGCTCATTTGCCTTTAGATGTGTAAAATAAGGCAACTTTATATCATGAATTAGGTTATCTTTCCTGTGATTCTCCCTTAGAATTTGGTTTCTTTTTCATGAATCTTCACTAATCATTTACCAGTAGTCACTGAGGATTCTGATGGGGCTAGTGGCACGATCTACCAACATGTAGCCGCTGCTCCTCAGGCTTTAAAGAGCTAAACTCTTGAACTGACCTTTGATTCTATGTCTTAAATAAACTAGCAAACGACAGTGGCCATTGCCTTGGTAGGCTTTGTAGCACATTCCTCTAATCCTAGTGCTCAGGAGGCTGAGGCAGGAGGATTGTTACCTGGAGGTTAGCCTGATCTTCTTATTAACTGTCTCAAACAAAATAGAACAGAAAGCAAAAATCTCTTACCAGAGGAAGAATAAAGCTCACTCTGATTCTTGAATATTCCAGTGTGCTAATAGAAATGGTATGTTGTTGATAGAAAACCAGATTTTTGTTGCTTTGTTTTTGGCTAGCACTTGCAGTTCTCTTCATGGTTTGTCACAAGCTGATTGCTAATCATAATCCTCTTTTGTTGAGGTGGTGGTTTTGGATTTTTGTTTCTTTAGAACTTTTGTTGTTTTTTTGTTTACATGCATTTTGGTTCATTCCCTTCATTTCCTGGGCAGTCATGGGGACATTTGACTTACGTCTTTCTTTGCTTACCTTACTGTACGGGTGGGAGAAGGCTGCTCTTTCAAATGGCCATATTTCTGTTTGATCTGTCTGGCATGTGGTGGGATCCACACTGAAACTTCTAATTATACGAAAGACTGAGCCCCGTAGAGAATGTTGAGACTTCATTTGCATCCTGCTTCTATGATGTCGTTCTGGAACTTTTGACTGGTCTCATAGGAGCCAGCCCTACCATCTGCTTAGTCAGAGCAGGGAATGAATTAACCATCCAGCTAACTTTGTCAGACTTGTGTCTAATTCCTCCCTCCACGTGGGAGGGAATGTATACACACTCTGTAGGAGATCAGTTTGCTTCCAGATCAAATTCCTTCTTTTGTCCTTCTTTTCCATGTTACTAAAAAAATCTTTATGTGATGAAAATACTTGGATCTTCATTGAGAAATACATTTGAATATAAATATGCCCCCAAAACTAATTCCTCAGTTGGTTAGTGCAAATGTTGCAAACATTGGAATCGGACCTATCCAATATGCATTTATGGTACCTAATTCATGCCCTGAAGACAACACAGAGCTAGCTTGTCTGATCAGAGCTGTTCCAGTGCTACTTGAAAACTGACTTTTCCAGAATGTCACTTTTAGCTAATGTAGTTGATGCCCCACTTCCTGAAGTTGTTTGTTTAAAGTACACTGCCACCTTGACCCACCTGAGTGCCTGACAGGGCTTTTGTCCTGAATATATGTAAAGCAAAGTTCATTAGTTGTTGTATTTGTTAAGGTCTACTGTCTTGAGTAGTATGCCTGCAGACTTATGCATGTATCTATCTGTTTTCTTCTAGGAAAAGAAGAATATATTGCCACATTCAAGGGATCTGAATACTTCTGCTACGACTTGTCTCAAAACCCCATTCAAAGCAGCAGCGATGAAATAACTCTGTCCTTTAAAACTCTTCAGAGGAATGGACTGATGCTTCACACAGGGAAATCAGCTGATTATGTCAATCTTGCCTTGAAAAATGGAGCTGTTTCTCTGGTCATTAATTTGGGATCAGGGGCCTTTGAAGCACTAGTGGAGCCCGTGAATGGAAAGTTTAATGATAATGCCTGGCATGATGTGAAAGTCACCAGGAATCTGCGTCAGGTAACAACGCAGTGGATAAGACAGTAACTGCCTTTGTTTCTTGCTACAGCTGTGCCTGTGGTACCTCCAGCTGTCTGTGTGGTACTTGAAAACACCCACATGATATAGGGCTCCACAGACTAGCTTTTCCTTCTGAGATGAATCTTCCTGCCATACTTGAGCAGGGGCATATCTAGAAAGTTCTGGGGACCCAAAGGCTATTTTAATACAGTGACAAATGATTATTTTCCAGAGGGCTGTAAGGACATCCCTGCGACCTGCCCTTCCTGTGATGTGTATGATTTTGGTTTTTTGTTTATTTGATTTAAAATTATAGATTTCATAGTGATCATTTGGAAGCATGCACATTGGGGTCATTAAATCACACTTCCTTTTTAGTAGTTAAAAAAAATTTTTTATTTTGTCACTTGGGATTGTATCAATCCCTATTCCCTCTTTTCCCAACCCCAAAATGGGAACATAAAATGTCCCTAAGGGAAAAATATTAATACTGTACATAACCTATATTCTGAAGTTTTTGTTTATGAAGATATTTTTGATTTAGCATAGATACTATAACTTAAACTAGAAATGATATGAACAGTCACTTCATCCTCTAGATGCCCACTTCTATGGGAACATATGTATAGAATATATTTGAATTCTTATATGTATATATTTAAATTCTTATATATGAGAGAATTCCTGTTCTTTACTGAATCAATGAGTCTACATATACTGTATGTTTTAATAAGACATATTACAGTATATGCTGAAAGCTGATTAGTTTGTTCTCATATTTTCATTATTATGAGTTTTAATTATATGACATTTTATATAATAATGTATTATTTTATTAAGTGTTGACAGTGACTAATCTTTGATGGTAAATGCTAATCTAAAACTAATATCCTTAATGTATTTGTTGTTTCTCTGAACAGTTGCAGAATTGACCGATTGACTCTGGTTTCCCTTTACTAAAATGGCCCTCTCTTTCTGAGCTGTTAACTAATCCTTTCTTTCCTGCTTCTGAGAGGCTTCAGCTATCTAAACTAGAGAAGCAAAAAGGAGCTTAGCCTTGGAGATTTAGTCTCATTCTTTCCTTCCTGCTTCTGAGAGGCTTCAACTATCTGAGCTAGACAAGAAAAAGTTGCTTAGGCGGGGAGGTTTAGCTACATTTAGGCAGACAAGTGAAACTGAACTATTCTAAGAGTTTCCACGGCCCAGATGCCCATGGGCATGGAAGGAGGCACATGCTTCCCATTGTGTCGAGAGGGGGCTGCCACAGTCAGTGTAGTTATAGACCACGGGTTTCCTGTAGGTCTGTCTCTTTGGATTTCTGTTTTCTTTTTTTTTTTTTCTCTCATATACTCACCAAGAGACTGGAGGCTCACTTGAGACTATCACAGAAGGAAGGGTGGGTCTTGAGGAGCCCACTTTCTAGATTTGCCTTTGCTCAGGTTATAAAGCAAGTTGAGAATTTGTAGCTCCAAGAGAACAGAAGTTTGTGCAGCCAGGGTGCATGTGCGGCAGGCGAGATTACAAAAAAGTCCATTCTACTCATTGCGTGTGTCAGGATCTCTGCTCTGTTTCATTGCAGTATACTGTGACCCTAAAGTCCATCAATATGACCGAAGGAAGTTTTGGAATTGAGGAGGAGTCCTTGTATGCTGTAAAATTGAGTAGTAGGGCAAAGCCAACTGATTCCTACTAATTTGCTGGGACTGGGAGTGGGTGTGGAGGGGGCTATGATGGGCCTAGGGTGAAAATGGCCAGCTGATAGGCTTCAGGCCTTCGAATGAATCCTTTGCAGATGTTTACAATGGCTCTCAGTGGTCCTCAGGAAGACTACGGGAACAGGGCCATCTGTCTGTTTCTGTCTAGTGGCAAGAGATGAACAAGGGCAGGAAAAGACTATCTCCTCTGTTGGAGGCCTATTTGTTAGTCTGCTTTTTCTTGTAAAATTTTTTTGCCCTTTTTCTATGTTACTAACATGCTTAATAACTAACATGTCATTCATGGAATGTTTCATTCTACTAACCGTTACCTGAATCAAAAAATGTACTAACATGGTAGAGACCATCATATTTTTTAAGTAACGATCGATCGTTATTCTGTTCACAGTTTTTAATTTCCTTTCTCCCCCCTTCTCCACAAAGCACTCAGGCATTGGACACGCTATGGTAAACAAACTACATTGTTCGGTAGATATCATTCTAATTGTTTCTTATTTTGGGTTTGCCGTGTGTTTTCTTTCTTTCTTTTAACTGTAGACATCATTAACAAAAGAGGAACTGCGGTTGGTACTCTTCTGCTTACCTTGACCTCCTTCTTTTCATCTGTTGTTGACTTTCTTATTTTTTACCTGTTCCTGTCAACCTCTGTTTTCAAACTCACGTGTAGGGGCATCGTTAACGTTTCGAACGTTTTTTTGCATCCAGCTGTGGTTAACACGAGATAAGAAAATGGTGGCTGGCCCGAGTGACCGCAGGCTCAGCCAGTCTCTAACCATTCATGATGCATGGCATGGAAACTTGGTTTGGGAATGTTGGAGATGCCACACCCACTCATCTTTACGTCATCACTAAGCAGTTATCTTTCTCCTTTGGTTCTCCCGGTCTTCTTTTCTTTCCTTTTTGAACGTTCTGTACCTCCTGCATGCGCATCGGAGTGCTGCTTCACTGATTGTTTTGCGCCTCGTCTTCCCTCAGCATGCTTCAGGCACTTGCATGCTCAGTAGTTGCTGCTCAATAGTGCAGTGATGTTGCTGGAAATAGCTTGCGCCTTTTTTGTTAACAAGGTGCACGTTGTGACTAGTGAATAACAGACGACTAAACTTTACTAATATGTACACCAGCAAAACTAACCTAGGAGGCATTTTACTAACACCATTTTTGTGTCTGCTAAATAACTTTTGAGTTGCAGCAGGGATGATGCTGACACTAGTTCAATGATCAGTTAACTCTCTAACTAGATTAGAATCTCTCAGGGCTAGCTGAATAGAATCCAAGAATAAACTTCAAACAGACATGAAAATGGGTTCCACCACAGGTCTAAAACTGAAAACCAAACAAACATAAAAAAAACAAAAAGAAAAACAAAAAGTAAAATAAAACAAAACACAAAACAGGCATACCCCAGGATTACAGCATGTAGGTCTGAGTATAGCGTGTCCTTTCCCTGTGCTTTGTTATCTAGGTGACAATATCAGTGGATGGGATTCTTACCACAACGGGCTACACGCAAGAAGATTACACCATGCTGGGGTCTGATGACTTTTTCTATGTTGGAGGCAGCCCCAGCACAGCCGACCTTCCAGGGTCACCAGTCAGTAACAACTTTATGGGCTGTCTCAAAGAGGTAAATATCAATGTCATGGAACTCTTCTTAACTCATGAGCTCATCTTTGCAGATCTGGACTGAGAGCTCGTTTACTGAAGATCTGATGTTCCCAGAATGAATGACACAACCTTCAGTTCAGCCTTGTGGCGGTTATGCAGAGTCGGGTGGTTAAGGGCAGCTCAGACGTCTGACGAGTAAGGCTCAGCTTCTCACAGTGGCCATTTTCCTGGATAGCTTTGTATCAGCTGTAAGAGGACATCAAACAAAATGAGATTTGGGTCTAATGTTGCACTAAGGGATAATTGCTTATTTTGAGGTAACTGGGATGTTTTGTGTACTGTAGTGACTTGTTTGGGAGATAAGAAAAAGAAAGAAAACAATGAGGCTACAAGAGGAAAGGACATGACATACATTAACAAAGCTAAAACAGAAAACAAAACCAAAACTGCATAATGAACCAATTATGCTGCCATATTTTAATTGTGTCTTGAAGGTGGGAGACCTGTGTCCTTTTTGATCTTGTAAGTTGACATGATATTTACCTGAGGAAAACGAGAGCTTAAGAGAGCAATTTCATCCCTGTCATTAACTGTCAGTGTCTGCTGTAAATTTTTATAATATTTCAATTTGTGGAGAAAGACCAGAAGGGCCTTGAATTTCAACTTTATATTCCATAAGAGTTAGCTTTTTTTTTTTAAATCTATTCAGTCACCATAATTTTTTTTTCTGACTAAGGAGCCTGAAGTCCTCCTCTTGTTGCATGGTGGATTAATTATCAACTTATTAGTTTTTTAGGCACAACAGTTGTTACTGGTAAGCATTGCTATAGTTTGTTTTGTTCTAAAGAAAATATAAGTCTATAAACTTGGCTGAGTTATTTTTTATATTTATTTTTCACCCAACAGTGAAAAAGTCACTGTAGAGTGCTGTCATCATTACTTCTCTTCCATGTATTGTAGCAGTTTTCATGTGTGTGTGTGTGTGTGTGTGTGTGTGTGTGTGTGAGAGAGAGAGAGAGAGAGAGAGAGAGAGAGAGAGAGAGAGAGAGGAAGACATCCTTGAGGAAGATTCAGAGCTGTTATAGTATAACAAACGCAGGAAGTTTTCCAAGGGCAGAAGGATTCATATGTTGGGATGAGGGGGATTTTCCCTCAGAGAGTGAATATTCCTCTCTGAAAATATAGATTATGCCTTAGGGTCTACATTAAGCTCCATAGGCAATAACAAACTAATAGAATAAAATATTATTATCATGATAAAAGCAGTATTAAAAATTTCAAAGTCCTTTGAGTTTAGAACCATCTTAAAGCTGTCCAATGGCTCTCACAATATAGGTGGTGATTTTATTGTCTTTATGTTTTTCAAACAAAGAAATTAAAGTTCAGAATATGTAAGTCACTTATGACAAGACTAACAACACATAAGCATTAAAACCCAATGCTTAATTTCCTGGTCCTCTTTGCTTCATGATTACCATAATTCACCATGTCCGAAAAGTAGTATTGGTTAGGCTACTGATATTAAAGATTGTACATATAAGCTCTCTCTTTCAATAAATGGAGAAGTGCTTTTTAGAAATAGATAATAGAGTGCTAGAATGTATGACCATTGCTCTTGTTTGGGTTGAAAAGAGGCTGAGCAGAGTGTATAAGTTCTAGTGGCCAAGGCCAACATACAGAGCCCAGGCTCACTAAGATGTGGAGAGGCAGGAGAGAGATAGAATAGAATAGATTGGGAAGAGACAGGGTCATTGCATACTTTGATTTCACAAGTAGATTGTTAAAAAAAAAAACACTTTCTGGACATTCCTAAGTACTCTCACCAATGTGTGGTGTTCATCTCTATTGTGCAACCAGTTATAGGCCATGTTTTATCTATAAAGAGTGAAACCTGTGTTACACGGGAAAAAGGTCCAGAATCCAAGGATTTTTAGCAGGAATGTAAATGTAGTTAGAGAGCATCTTTGGGCATCCTATGAAAAGTGAGGATGTCTGAGATACTGGGTTTCTTTGAGACATAGGGCATTCAGCCCGTTCTCCAACGAGCAAGCACATTTTTCTGTGAAGCTGCAGAGTCTTAATCTGATATCATGGTTTCAAAATAAGCCATGCATCAGACCAACATTTCCACTGTTTAAATGCTCATACATTGATATATCTCAGCATTCGCCTCTTTGTATTAACAGTCTAATCACAAATAGGATGACAAAAGAAAAAAGTAAAAAATAAAGCCATATAGTCTTTCAAGTGTCCTTTAGCTAGAAGCTTGTGAGTACTTAAAAGCAGGTTCATCCTGTCTTCCTTTACTATAGATCTTACAGTCTTTCCTCCTTGTTGAATGGGAATGCTCCATCTTGCTGCTTCCCATGCTGTGAGGAATTTGACCAGAGCAAGTGCTGTGAGGTTTTCCAGACCTGTGTTGTGTTTCAGTTTGCTTCCTCCCAGAACGCTGGTGGTTGGCAAGTTATAGACATAGTCAGTTTATAAATTAAAAAAAATATTTCATTTGAGGGCTTTTTGATAGTTCATAGCTTCCACCTACATCTGAATCATCTTTTATAATCACATGCTTTTCCTATTTCAGAAAGGAAATAGTGAAAAGAGCACCATGGGTTTTGAGCTAAACCATCTTTCTTTAGGAAGGTCAGCTTTGTAGAGTTCCTGAATAGAGAGTAATATGCCAATGTTCATTCTCTTGTTTGTTTTCCTAAGCCCTGGCTTAGACTTCCTAGCCTATAGCATATTACATTCTAATGCCTTAATTACATCTTCAATTATTCGCTCATTATATTTTTATTTTCAATCCAGTACATAATACCCCTTACGATAGTCACTTCTGCAGGAGAGTCTAAGGGCACCTAGTCTGAAGCTACATAGGACATTTTGAAGAACAAATAATTCTGACAATCATTCTCTAAGTCTGATTGTTTTGAAACTAGAGAAGCAGATAGGAGATGGTTCTGTGGAACAAGGAATGGATGACACAAGATCAGCACCCAGCATAAGACAGATAACATATCTGATTGGAGGATGATCGCCTTGTTCTGATCTGTGGTACTTAACCATAAAATTAGAGATGGCCTACCATATTTGCTAATTTATATCTTCATTCTATTAAAATTAAAGTAGTAAAAGAAAATTCTTCAACATGTTGAAGCAAACTATTCTTTAGTTTTCTTTAGTGATATCTTAATTCCTCTGTGACATTTATAACAGTAAATGAGAGCTGAGGGCACTTTCAGCCAGTGGGACACAATAAGAAAGTTAAATTTGATAGATTGATCATCGAATTTCAAAATAAAATAATGATGTGTAAGACATTAATTTGTTTAAAATGAAAAGAAAACATGAACAGGCTGCAGAGAAAATAATTTGGTGTCATATTTAAATTTAGTCACAAACAATTCAAAAAGTCTTTGGAGAAAAACTACCACAGACATAGGTTTTAGGAAAGGCAAAGGGAAATTGTAAACAATGAGATAGCATTTTACACTGCTTATTCCTGTAAAAGCAGACCCAGGCCTTGGGAAAGACACTTCAAAGTCTTCCTGCAGCAGAACCTTCACAGACTCTCCTTTGGCAGGAATGCTTGTTTATATTCTTCAAATTTTTGGAAGCGTCGCTTAAAGCTGAAATATAATTCCTAAGGATGTTTGATAATTTTAAACTTAGTTTTTCTACTGAAGTGTGTTTGAGTAACTGTTACAAATAGAGAAAGTTTGAGAACCACAAAAAAGAATTATCTTGGCATCTGTTTGGGGTCCATTTGAAGAGGACTTGAAGTGAATTTTCTTGAACACGAGTTCTGTACTTTACTCTTAGCCTGCTCATTAGAGGCAGCTTTCAATCACCAGAGACAGGTGAAAATCTCACCAATTCATGTTTTACTCAAATATTTTGACCAAGAGGACCCATCAGAGCCAGTGACCGAGGTGCTCTTTCTGTCAATCCTATCTACACTTAACTCAGACTGCATTTTGCATTTCTTAATGTCTTTTGTGTCCACAAAACACTCTGCAACATCTGTTCCCCTCCTGCTGAGTAGACATTATTTAGCATGGTTAGGAAATGAAGCTAAAGAAAGGGAAAGAATTGTGAGTGTGAATAAACCACCATAGAAAGCTTTATCTGAAGTGTGTTTTCAGACATGTGTGCCTGCTGGAGGTTTTCTAATCAGTGGCTGCAGTGCAGACTGTGCCTGTGTGAGGTAATTTAAAATGCTGCCTCAAAGAATGGCTTGGAATGAGCCTGAGGAAAGATTCTTGAGAGAAAAGAAATGAGTGAAATGCTAGAGGGAATTAAATCCCTACTGAAAATTTCATCAACCTAATTAGGTCAGTTCTGCCTGTAATTACACATGGAGACCTTTATTGCTAGAAATCCATAAGAGGCTCTAAGGTGGGCGAGGCTCAGGAAGTATCCTGTTTTATAAAAGAACTTTCCTTCACATTGAAAAAAAAAAAAGTCTATTCCTGAATGAAGGTTGGAGTGGGTTGTTGGTTGTGTGTGTGTGTGTGTGTGGGTCCCTTCTGAGTAATACAAAGGCCACCCTCTGGCTTTTACACTGTGGAGGGAAGTGCTTCCTTTATACAGAGACACCTCAGTCTTTTGGACCATGGAAGATGTCCTAAAATTGTATGGCTTATTTCTGTCCTTGGCCAGCCCAGCTGCTGTAATTCCCTTCCAGAATTCTGTGTAATTCTGCACAGAGATGACTACCACTACCTGTAAGAACAAAACTCCACCAGAGATCTTACATTTTAGGTTATTTTTCCTATTCTGAAGTAACGTTCTTTTTCTGACATGTTGGAGAAGTGGCAGTGGCAGGAATCTGCAGAAGATGCTCAGTGATGTCTGTCAACCACAGTACTCGTCTTACATTCCTCTCGAGTTCTGTGCTTGTCGTCTGCAGGCTACCTGGGAATATTTTACAGTTCATTCATACTACCTCTCACATGCTTTTCATTGATTCTGCAGGGAAGGGGTGTTCTTTGCATCTCTACCTCTCCTAGGAGTTTC